GGAAGTGGCGCTGTGGCTCAAGTGGTAGAGTGCTAGCCTTGAGCTGAAGAGCTGAGGGACAGTGCCCAGGCCCAGAGTTCAGGACCCATGACCGGACCCCCCCAAAAAAAAGAATTCTCCAAGTTATTTTTTTGTGCATTATACTTTTCTTTTGCCATTTCTTTGGAATCCTTTTTCTAGTGAGAACTCTAAGCTCTCAGAGTCAGCTTGCCAATGATTAAGTCCCCACCCTGTATCCACCTGTTTACAAAAATGTTATTTCTCCAAACTGTTTTCCTGCATGACATACTTATTCCTGCTCTAGTTGCAACAGTCTCTTTTCTCAAATGTGACTCTCCTCCATTAATAATACCTCTTCCTGGAACTGACCCTACCCCCAAATTCTCACAGTCTATGTATGTGATTACCCTTGTGACCCATGTGACTGCCCCCTAAATCTTTGTTTAAATTCAGCCTACACGTGTCCATGGCTGCTGCCACCATTCTTGTTTGGAGTAGCCCCGCAGGTCTGCACCCCAATCAAGCTTTGGGCTCGTATTGGTTGCTCTCCCTTGCTTCTCACTTCTTACAAGAACCATGTTTATGATTTCCTGGAACTCTTCCTTTGAGTCTCTACCTTCACACAACTGAAACTTGGTTTTCTCCTTCCTGTATTCCACTGGTCTGTCATCCCTGCATGCTTGGAAAGTCTTAATTTCTTGGTAAAAGAAAAGCTAGGGAGCGGGAAATGTGGCTCAGTGTTACAGTGATTGTCTAGCATGCATTAAGCCCTGGGTTCCTCAGTACCACATACATAGAAAAAGCCGGAAGTGGCACTGTGGTTCAAGGGATAGAGTACTAGCCTTGAACAAAAGAAGCTCAGGGTTAGCACCCAGGCCCTGAGTTCACAAGGCCCAGGACTGGAAAAAAAAAAAAAAAAAAGCAAGCCAAATGGTGCTCTAATTGATCCTGCAATTTGTCTTATCTTTTGTTGCAGTCTTTATTCAGCCTACTAGCTTGCCAACTTCCTGTACTGACAGCCTTTTTTGGACAGCGATTTGTATTCTCATAGAGTCTCAAATTATTCATTGTGTAGTCGGGTGCCGGTGGCTCATGTCTGTAATTCTAGCTACTCAGTAGGCTGAGATCTGAGGATAATGGTTCAAAGCCAGCCTGGGCAGGAAATCCGTGAGACATCTCCAATTAACCACCAGAAAGCTGAAGTGGAGCTGTGGCTCAAGTGGTAGAGCGCTCACCTTGAGCTGAAGAGCTGAGGGACAGCGCCCAGGCCAAGTTCAAGCCCCACGACCGGACCCCCTCCTCCTCCCCCCCCCCCCCCCCCCCCCGCCGAAAAAAAATCGCTGTTTAATCGAATTTGGGTAGATCACTTTGTGGCTTAGAAGTTCTCCTTTGGGGGCTGGGAAGGTGGCTCAGTGGTAGAGCCCTTGCCTTACATGCATGAGGCCCTGGGTTCAATTCCTCAGCATCACATAAGCAGAAAGAAAGAAAAAAAGCTGGAAGTGGCACTGTGGATTAAGTGGTAGAGCGCTAGCCTTGAGCTGAAGAGCTGACAGCGCTCGCCCAGGCCAGAGTTCATGACCGGACCCAAAAAAAAAAAAAAGAAGTTATCCTTTGTATACACTATATCCCATTATATACCAGGACTACTTCCACTCTCCCTTTTTGGGACACTGGCTTTCCCATCCCACTTACAAATCCTTTCAAAACATTTTAGCTTAAACACACACACACACAAAGTTTAGTTTGTGTCATATTGAAAGTGACTTCCATGAAAATGTCAAAAAGTGATAGGACCACATTTCAAGTATTCTTCAGAGATGTACTTGGAGACAAACAAGTTTGAAGCTAACTTTTTATTTTCACTTTTGTCAGTCGTGGGGCTTGCACTCAGGGCCTGAGCACTGTCTCTGAGCTTCTTTTGCTCAAGGCCAGCACACTAACACTTGGGCCACAACGCCACTTCCGGCTTTTTCTGTGTTTGTGGTACTGAGGAATGGAACCCAGGGCTTCGTGCATGCTAGGCAAGCACTCTGCCACTGTGCCACATTCCCAGCTCTGATGCGACCTTTTAGGTGGGGTGTAAGGAGGTAAAAAATATTTCGATGAAACATGAGGGCCTTGGGCCCTCATAAGTGCGCTAGCTCCAAAGGTTCAAAAGTAGCTACTGCAGGATCTAAAGTTTCCGCGCCGGTAGAACTGCTCCCGGGGTGGGGCTTAGCATCGTCCCACTCTCCTTCCTCAGACCACAGAGGCTCATCCTTGCCACGCCCCTTCGCCCCTGCCCCACGCATTCGCGTTGCATGCTGGGAATTGTAGTTCAGGGCGGGCCCATCCGGAAGGACGAAGTTGTCACAGAGTTCTGCCCGCCCCTCGGGTTGGAGGTCAAGTCTCTGAAGGTGCTCCCTCTCCACTGTCAGGCGGAGCCTTCTGCGAGTACGCCTGCACTTGTCTGTGCCACATTCCCTTTCTGGCTTCAAATAAAGTTTTCCTCTTCCTCCGCCGGTACGGAGTTCAAGATGGCAGCCTCCTGGTCGCCCTTGGCTACCCTGCGCTGCCTAGCGCGGAGCGGGCTGAGAGGGAGAAGTGTCGGGTGCGGGGTCCGGGCCGCCGCCCCGGGGAGGCCCCACTGGAAAGGTCAGTGACTGTGCCCGGAGTAGGCCGAACCCGTCCTGCATAGAACCCGGGAAGCCCGGGGTTCCCTCACTCTCTGGTCCCCCCCCACGTTCCACAGGTTGGCCGGGCTGAGGGTTCTAGGAGAGGAGTTAGCTGTATTCATTACCTGCCTTGACGTCCCGAGACAGCGGCCCTCAGGGGTCTCACTCTGAGGGTCCAGGTCGACCAGGAGTTGCACTTTTCCAATGGCCTGGGGAGCCCAGGTGTGGAGTGGGTGGTGGCCAGTGACCCCCTTTCCCCCGCCCCCCTCCCGTGCCTCCCTGTGGGCTCTGCGGGTGACCGAGCACGCGAGTCAGACTCCAGCAGGCTCCGCAGCCCTGGGGATTCTGGGAACGCAAGTACAGAAAAGTCCTCAGATTTGAGGGGTCAGGTCTTCTTGTTCAAGTAACTAGAAGCTTCAGTAGCGTGTATTTAATCTCCAGGCTTTCTTCATTCATTGATTCAGAAATATGAATGTTTATGAAATATGTTTATTTATTCAAGTATTGTCTGAATGAATAGATGTGTATCTGGAGTAACCAAGAAGCCACCGGAATGCTTTTTTTTTTTGATAGATCCCTGCTTCAACCTCAGCTTCCCACGAGTGCTCATTTTACTGTTCTATTGATATATGCCCACATTTAGTGTCCGAGTAATGGAGGTTCAAAGACAAGAACCTTGTGTCTTTGTTTTCTCAGCGCTTAGCACAGTCATTGATACCTGATGGGCAGATAGGATTTTTGAATGCACGATTCATTGTTTCTTCTGGCAACATGCCCTCCCTCTTTCCGTTTCCCTCCCTTTCCCTCTCTTCCCCTCTTTCTCTCCCTCTCTTCCTCTCTCTCCCCCCTCTTTCTCTCCTTCTCCCCTCCCTCTCTCTCCCCTTCTTCCCCTCTTTCTCTCTCTCTTCCTCTTTCCCTTTCTCTCCCCCTTTTTCTCCCTCCCTCTCCCTTTCCCTCCAACCTTTTTTTCAAATCATGTTCTGTAATCCTATCTTCTCAGGAGGCTGAACTCTGAGGACCTCAGTTCAAAAACAGCCTAGACAGTTGGACACTGGTGGCTAATATCTGTAATCCTAGCTATTCAGGAGGCTGAGATCTGAGGATAGTAGTTCAAAGAGCCTGAGCAAGAAAACCCATGAAACTCTTACCTCCAATAAACTACTAGAAAACCTGGAAATGGTGCTGTAGCTCAAGTGGTAGAGCACTAGCCTTGAACTGAAGAGCTGAGGAACAGTGCCCAGGCCTAGAGTTCAAGCCCCATGATTGACAAAAAAAAAAAAAAAAGACTTAAGGAGTGTCATTACCATAACATGATTTACTGAATGCACTTTTTGTGTCAGACTCATGATATGCTAAGTGCTTCCAACACACATCTCATTTTTTTTTTAATGTTCTTACTGGGGCTTGAGGTCTCTGTCCAAGGCTGGTGCTCTACCACTTGAGTCACACCTCCACTTCTAGCTTTTTGGTGGTCACTTGGCATTAAGAGTCTCATGGACTGCTGCCTGAACTGGCTTTGAACCTCTGTCCTCAACATATCTCAGATTTCTGAATAGCTAGGATTATAGGCATGAACCACCAGCACCTGATTCATTTATCTCTCATTATCCTAATTTTAGGGATTAGGAATAGGAAGTTGCAGAAGTTATGAAGTAGTGTCACAATTTGTGGGTTCAAGTGAAGGCTAATCTTGGACTAACTTCTTTTTCTAAAGACCATGCAGATAATCTACACTCATACTGTCTTCTACTCAATATGTAGTCAGAGCTAGATATGAAGATTAGATGAAAACATAGAGTCAATTTAAGATGTTCCCTTTCCCTCATTAAACAAAATAATATATTTTTTTTCTCTTTGTTGGTCATGGGGGTTGAACTTTGGGCCTGAGCTCTGTCCCAGAGCTTCTTTTGCTCAAGGTTAGCACTCTACCACTTGAGCCACAGTGCAAGTTCCAGATTTTAAGTGGTCAATTGGAGTTAAGAGTCTTATGGAGACTTTTCTGCCCGGGCTGGTTTTGAACCTCAATCCTCAGATCTTAGCCTCTGTAGTAGCTAGGATTACGGGCATGAGCCACCATTGCCTGACAAAAGAAATTTTAAATTGAAAAATGGTTTAGCATTTACAGTTTTGTCTTCTGTCCCTTGATCTTTTTTTGGGTTACTCAGAGTTTACATTTCTATTTTGTCTTCATTTTTTTTTCATCTTTTGAAGTCTTATTTTATATAGTGTAATGTGACTGAAGCATTGGCTTAAACAAAAGAAGGAAATAGGTAAAGGAAAGGAATGTAGAGAAAGAAGGACAAAATGTTTTGCTGAAAAAAAAAAAAACAAAATGGTCTTGCTTACTCTTGCTTACTTTAGTGCCTGCCTAGCTCCAAGCCATTTAATAAATTGGAACTATGAAAACTATGGTCCCTAAAATGCTCTTCATCTAAATCATCTACTTGATAATGTAATTTTAAACTCCTTAGGAAGTATAACATTATGAATTACATTTTGGGACATGTGTATTTCCATTACATTATTCCACAATTGACAGTGAAATTTGGTATATATATATTATATATATAAAGCATATATATATATATATATTATTTCATTAGCTGTTTTAGGTCTAAATGTATCTTCATTTAGTGTAGCAATTATTCAGCCTCCAGATAGTTGAAAATAATTTAGTGGAAACCAGAGTAGACTGGATATGGCTTGAAGTAAGAGTAAAGGTGAATGAAACTGCTTAAAGGTGAATAAATTGCTTACAGTTTAAGGAAGGGACATGGAATTATGACAACATCAAGTCCTTTATATATTTTAGGCAGTTTGCAAAACAATTTCTTTGTCTCACAATTGAATTGATTTTTTTTTTTTTTTTGAGATGAAGTCTTGCTATGTTGCCTAGACTGGTCTCAACTCATGAACTCAAGCGACACTTCTGTCTCAGCCTTCTCATTAGCTGGAGTGGCACTCAGGCCCTGAGTTCAAGCCCCCTAAAATTATTCTTAGAAAAGTTGTTCTTAGTAATTCTTTGGGGTTGGGAATATGGTTTAATGGTAGAGTGCTTGCCTAGCATGCATGAAGCCCTGGGTTCGATTCCTCAGTAACACATAAACAGAAAAAGTCAGAGGGGCTGGGAAGGTGGCTCAGTGGTAGAGCGCTTGCCTTGCATGCTCGAGGCCCTGGGTTCGATTCCTCAGCACCACATAAACAAAAAGAAAAAAGCTGGAAGTGGCGCTGTGGCTCAAGTGGTAAAGCGCTAGCCTTGAGCTGAAGAGCTAAGGGACAGCGCCCAGGCCCAGAGTTCAGGCCCCACGACTGGACCCAAAAAAAAAAAAAAAGAAAAAGTCAGAAGTGCACTGTGGCTCTTGTGGTAGAGTACTAGCCTTGAGCAAAAAAAGAAGCTTAGGGACAGTTCCTAGGCCCTGAGTTCAAGTCCTAGGACTGACAAAAAAAAAGTAAGTTTAGCAACATTTTTGTTGTTGTTGTTATTGAAGGGATTCAACTTTGAGCTTGTTAAAATTTAATAGATGGCTCCAGGTAAATAACCTAGTTGTATGACACAGGAGGACTTAAAGGTAAAGATGGAATAGGAGACCCTGAGAAACAGGATAATGGAATAATGACCCTGAGAATAGGGTCATTATAGGAGGAAAGCAGCTGGGAAGGTGGCTCAGTGGTAGAGTGCTTGCCTAGCATGGAGAAAGCCCCGGAAGTGGTGCTGTGGCTCAAGTGGTAGAGTGCTAATCTTGAGCAAAGGAAGCTCAGGGACAGTGCCCAGGCCCTAAGTTCAAGCCCCAGGATTGGGGTAAAAAAGAAACACCAAAAAGTAGCATTTGGGGACTGAGAAGGTGGCTCAATGGTAGAGTGCTTTCCTTGTATTTATGAGGCCCTGGGTTCGATTCCTCAGCACCTTATAAACCAAAAAAGCTAGAAGTGATGCTGTGACTAAGGGGTGGAGCGCTAGCCTTGAGCTGAAAAGCTGAAGGACAGCGCCCAGGCCCAGAGTTCAGGCCCCACCACTGAAAAAAAAAAAAAAAAAAAGGAAAGCAGAAAAAGCTGAGGATGAGCCCTTGAGAAAAAGTCACATTATTGGAAGACAGCAAAGAGAACAGAACTAGAAATATCAAGGAAGCAAATGTTTCTAGGTTTTCTAAAACGTAAAAGTTATCATGTTTAAAACTGCATTTTATTTAAACTAGCCAACTTGGGAATTTATTTTGTAGCTCAAGAGACTTTGAAGATCAGCTCTTTTTCTTCCTCCTCTGGTACTAGGGCTTAAACTCAGGGCCACCCAAGGTTGGTGTTCAAAGCTGGTGCTGTGCTCAAAACTGGTGCTTTACTGTTTGAGCCATATGTCTACTTCTAGCTTTTTGTTGGTTAGTTGGAGATAAGATTCTGATGGATTCTCCTGCCTGGGCTGGCTTTGAACCTTAACCCTCAGATCTCAGCCTTGTGAATAGCTAGGATTACAGGCATGAGCCACCAGCACCTAGCTCAACGTAAGTCATTTCTTTGTGCTGGGAACTTTCCAACTCCTTTAGTTCTTTATGAAATATAGGGTAGTTTATTGGAGAGAAGAGTGTCAAGGACTTTCTTGGGCTGGCTTTGAACTAGGATCCTTAGATTTCAGCCTCGTGAGTAGCTAGGATTACATGTGTGCGCCACTGGGGTCCAGTGCTATATGCTTTGTTTTGGTGGTACTGGGATTTGAACTCAGGACCTCACACTTGCTAGGCTTGGAGCTCCACTAATTGAGCTATGTCTCCAGCCCTGTTCTTTTGCTTTTACTGTTTTGGAATTATAGTCTCTTAGACTTTTCTGCTTGGTCTGGCCTTGTACTACCTACCATCCTCTAGATTTTAGCCTTCTGAGTAATTATAATTATAGTAATTATAATTATAGAATTATAGGCACTATTGGTACCTGGCTTTTTTTTGTTGTTGTTTGGTTCTTGAAACAGTGTCTTGCTATGCTGTCTTGGCTGTC